TTGTTTGTTTATTTTATGTATTTTAGGGAGCAAATACAGACTCCCGCATTTCAAATTGACATTTTTATTTGTGCTTAAAAACCGATAAGTTTCCTTGTCTAAAGTTTGGTTTTGATACATCTCAAAAACTTTAGACTGGATGATCTGATGTAGAGTTTCTAAATCAGGTTTTTCTACTTGGACATAATAGGCAGAATCGAGTTGTCTCATGCCTTCTGAGATATATTGATCTCTGTCCATTACAATAACTGTGTTGCTTTTGTCTGCCTTTTCAATTACGATCCCAAGATTTCTTTTTAATGAAACAAAGGCTTCCCTCTCATGTTTAGTGAGATTGTCTTCAAAACGTTTGATTGACATTGATGTTAATTCGAGTTTAGTCTTATCTATATACTTTTCTAATGCATCACATATTTGCTCTGGTTTGTAACCTGAGCGTTGTCTAAAAGGATGCAATAAGTTGTCATCGGAATTGCTGAACAAATATTTGCACCTTAATTTTCGTGCAAATTCATCAAAATCTCTTAGTACAATGTTTTTGGCATTGTAAGACTTGGAACTTGGTATAAATTTTAGTCCTTTACTAAGAAGAGATTGTTCAGCACGTGTCAGACAATGTTTTGACAAGTTTAAAACTTGGATTCCAGTTCTCTTTAAATTATTCAGCTGCAAGTTACGAGCAGAGATAGATCGTACTCGTAAAAGAGCATTTTTTGGCTGCAAGTTACGAGCAGAGATAGATCGTACTCGTAAAAGAGCCTTATTAGATTTCTGTTCTCTCTTAAAGCGTATACCCATTTCGCTTGCAAGATGGATAGAGCATGTATGAGTAAGAATTATCATCAATGCCAATTTGTTTGTAGCGCATGTGCAGAGTTGGACACGCCTACAATGTTTCAAACAATTCTGATTGGTGGAGCAAGTACACAGTTTTAATCTTGTTGAAAATTAGTGTAAACAAGCCAATATGATAAAATAATGACATAAAAGTGTTCAATCAAAGGTCCATACGATAGTTGTATATTTTGATATACAATTCCAAATCCTATTTTTCTTTGAATGAGAAGATGCGCATAATTGCGATAGATAGTGTCGTTCGTTGATTTTTCAGTCAGTCAATCAGCTATTGAGATTCTGGGTTAGGCAAATTCAATTGACACTGGAATTTTAATGAGAGCCACCTTGGATATATATTAGTTCTGATAGCATATTTCAGACTCGCCTTTTTCGTGACGTATTTTTGTTGTTCTTGCATTGAATGATAAATGATTCCGATAGACGGTTCAGTTTCATCTTGTAGTTCAGGACCAGTGTCAATACTGTCCTCATTGAGCTTTAAAGTTAAAGCCAGGTCGTCATCCTCTTGCAGATAGACTGCTTCTTGATTATAAGGAATGTGTTCATCTTCCATTTTTGTTGTCTTGTTTTCAAACTTCTTTAATGAAGTTTGTTGAATCTTTGTAGCATATTTGTCCGTAATGAACTTTAGTCATTGTATTGGCTTTGTGTCTCTGTCAAAAGTCAACCTTTTTGGAATTTTTTTGTTCTAACGGAAATTACACAGATGTGACTCACAATGGAGAGGTCTTTGATGACAGAGATTTCCTGTGTAAATTTTATGGGTACGAAGTAACCATTTGTCTCAGCAGTGTAAATTGGGAGGTAGATATATGTGACCAAATGAACTTCGTGAGTGAAGTAGACCATCATGCACTGGATTGGGCCATTGTTTGCTGTGAGCACCTCTGTGCGCAATCGCAACAATATCCATAAAAAGTAGTTTCCTCGACCTGTGTAATGAGCTAATGACATATCGTGCGGCGATTGGAAAATTACTCTGTGTGTCACAAGATAACTATACGAAAAAATAGATTTTTTATTTTAAAATACGGCAAACTTATAAGAAGAGTATTGTTTTTCCTCTTTCAAGTACACGATTTGATCAAGAGAAATATTCAAAATATCCAATATGTTCTTCTCCTCATGACTTTGCTCCTGTTATGAAATGATATTGCGGAAAAGCCTGGTCCTGAGCTAAACGTAAATGGTTTATCAATTTTTCATATGAACTGTAGAAGTATACGACACAAATAAGACAAGAACTATCGATGTATAGACAAAACTATAAGTGATCACAAAGCAGCCTATATTATACTCAAACTAGACACCGCGATCCAAAATACGTATGTTCGAAAGATTTTCCTGTACAAAAGAGCTAATTTTGATCTATTTAGAACGGATATGAATGAAACAAATTTGGATGAAATCTTAAATAGCGAAGATGTTGATGTTGATGTAGTTAAATTTTACGTAAAAATTTCAAAATTTGTGAATGAACACATCCCACAAAAAGATGTAATAGTAAGACCGGATGATAAACCTTGGTTCAATTCTGAAATCAGGAAAGAAATAAACCTGCGCGAAAAATTTAGAAAAGCTTAAAGAAATTCAGAAAATGAGGAAGATAAAGCAAAATACCGTAAACAAAGAACTAAAGTCAAGAATTTTAAAGAAAAACTAGAAGAAGAATACCTGTTAAACCTAAATGAATCATTAAATCATCTAAATTGTACAAACTCAAAAACTTATTGGCAGATAGTTCGCAGATTATTGAAAGGTTCTAAGCCGTCACACTCCGTTCCTCCACTAAAAGAAAATAATGACTATGTATTTACAGATGAAGGAGAATGTGAATTACTGAATGCTTATTTCTGTAAAGTTTCTTCTAATGATAATATAGACAAAAATCTCCCCGAATTCGAATCAAGAACAGAAGCCAAACTTGAAAATATAGCATTAAACGAAAACGAAATTGTCGATATTATTGAAACTTTAGATTCCAAAAAAGCCTCTGGTCCAGACAACTTCAGTCATACTTTGATAAAAGAAATAAGAAAGGAGATTGCAATCCCGCTAGAAATCATCTTTAATAAATCTGTGAGAACTGGGAAATTTCCATGTGCTTGGAAACATGCTAGTGTAATACCTGTCTTTAAAAGTACCTGGACACAGATTTGAAGTTATTATTTTCTCTATAATATTACGAATTTTATATTTTAATTGCATTTCACACAAAAATTAATTAAAAATCTTATTTCATATAATAGATATTAAAATTTCAAATTTTTTGGCGGGTTTGATTGATACATCCTTGCACTTTCACAAATTAATTTTATTCTTCATCCTTAGTAAAAGTAGCAATGTCGTTGTGTATAAATGAAAAATATTAATACTATAACTCAGAAAATTCAGAGTAGACATGTTCGAAAGCAAAACAAACACGCAATATATTGTCAGTCCGTGCAGTTGTGGTAAGCAGACTGTGACAATTGAACGCACCCGGTGAATTATAAACATCAACAATAACAGAACTCGTGCCCTGTTTACAAAAACTGTGTACATAATACGAGTGTGCTCGATTTGCTAAACTTTGTACGCAACTCTTAGTTCGGAAGGACGATACTTGTGAAGGAGTTTTGCTTTCTAACATTTCTACTCTGAATAAAATTATTTTTCTCGATAAAAGTTTTAATATTTCACATTAATACACAACAAGTTCGCCACTTTTCCTAAGGATTAAGAATAAGGTTAAAATATGTGAAAGTGCAAGGATATGTCAATCAAACCCGCCAAAAAAAAGTTTTAATAACTTTTAAATGAAATAAGATTTCTAATTAATTTTTGTGTGAAATGCTCTTAAAATATATAAGTCGTAATATTATAGAGAAAATACTGACTTCAATTCTGTGTCCAAGTACCTTTAAGAAAACCGTTCTCATTATTACTGGTACTGAAATATAATGCAGTACTATGATTTGTACTTCATGGGAATAATGCACTCTTTCCATTATTCAATTTTAACAGCTACTGATAACCAAGCATTTGCATCATCGAACTATTTGTAAATTATTTCTTCTTTTTAATTCTTGGTGTGGAATTTACAACGAGGCACGTGACTAAAAACAATAGTCTTAAAATAATCAAATTCAGAAGTTTAGAATCATTATTAAAACATTTTTTGGAAGAATTAGAATTTTTTTTTTCTTTTAATATTTTTGAATTAAGAATAATCGTCTCGGATATTTTTTGCATTAAACAGGGAGTTTTTCGAACTACTTTTATCCGACATGCCTTATATAAGTTCTTTGTGAAAGCGTGACGTAGGGTGATTTTTGACAACAACCTATTTCATAATATTAGGAGAAACAAATCTAAACATCTTAAAATCGATCATCTGATAGAGCAAGGGCCCGAGGCAAAGACCTAATAAAATTAGTTTGATTTAATTAGAGTTAAAGGTTTGAATTAAATATCCGATTATTTCAATCTTCGAGAGAGAGAGAGGGGGGGTTATGATTAGCTTTAAATTAATTTTGAATCATTTTGATTTTATTTTGAAAATTAAGAAAAAATTCAGCTTTTCAATGAAGTATTTTTTTTCAGTTCTGTATATTTCTTCCCTTTGTTTTTATGTGCCAAGTTTAAATAATTTCAGTGTCAAATTTTGCATCGTCTTAAGGCATTATCGTGTAATTAAAAAAAATCCTTTACGTATGTGTGCAAATAAAAAAAAATAATTTCGAAATTATCTTTGTTCCCACACCTACAATTGAAATCAGACACTGTTATCAACACCTGGTTAAACAAGAAATAAGAATGACGACAGACGTAGAAAAAAATGTTTACTAACAAAATAAAACAAGGTACATGTTGTGTTTCATGTAAGACTTTCACGCTTGATTTCCTGAACCTTATACGAACTTGCCTTCGTCACGACTTTATTAAAACAATGCTACAGGGTACCCCAGGCCCCTTTCGCTGATTGCGTGACAAATTCTAGATTCGATACCCTTTCGTGCTCTGCGCCCATTCACGGGTCAACAATCACGGGAAAGTATAAAGCTCAGCGAAAACGAGAATTCACTTTCACAAACGTTACGAACTTTTGTAATAGAGGTATTTAATTACACGGGTCTCAGGTGCTGAGGACACTTAAAAGGAGTAAAAAGTCATTGCAAGTGATGGCGGGCAGCAGATTTACTGTGTTACTTTTAGGTTTTTGCGGCATTGCTGCAGCGCAGATAAGTCCGAACTTTTGTCCGCACGAACAACCAAGCGTTACGTACAAGGCCTGGTCTTCCGAAACTAGCTGGGATTCAGGAGTGAGTAGTTGTTTTTTTTTTTTTTTTTTTTTTTTTTTTTTTTTAAATCAAAATGGGCTGGCAATGCGTCATGTAAAAATTATTGTGTGTGCATTTAAAAAAAACAAATTCTGATTGAACACTTTATCTTTATGCACTACATTATCGAATGTGCATTATGCATTACAATACCCATAGGTTAAAAATATATATAATAATTGTAATAAATTGCAATTTCATTAAATAATTGACCATTATGCAAGAATAAAAAAGGTAATATAATTCAATATACCGAAGAGTAATGTTAAAATTTCACTTACGTAATATTACATTTGTAAATACAAGCTTCGATTCAGCTCTGGTTAAAATTTCACTTCACAAAATATTTCGATCTGCTTTGAAATCCTGATAAACGAAAGCTTTCTGACTGGAATCTGGCGACAAAGCTTGCTTTGTACACTTTGTACACTGTACCTAGATATTTTGATAAATTCCACAAAAATACCTGCATGGCTTTTTTGTTATACTTAATTTGTAAATCGCAAGGGCCATGCAAAGTTGTAGTGATTTTGAAATTAATCTACTGCCCAAAATTCAAATTTTAAATGTTGATTTGTTGTACGTTTTTGTTACCTATGCAAGGTTAATATTGATTTAAATTGAACATAAAGATCATTTGACGGGTAATTCAATATAAAAATAATCATTTCAAAAACATTGACCTTGATACGAATAGGTAAAAGTAAATTAAAAACAATTTTTATAGATATTAAATTTGTGAAGCATGCATTAATATATTTAATCCTGTTTTAATTTCTTTAACCATGTTTAGCGAAACAGAGCTCGTTGATTTATTTTCAAAGGGAAAAATCCCTCTACTTGACCATTATATTTTTTTATTACAAAGTAATGAATAAATAGGAATTTGAATCACTAATACAATTTCAGTTTAAGGAACGGAAAATTAATGAAAAATAAAGCGTAAAATTACAACAGGCATTATTTTAATATACACATGTACACAGATGTAGGATAAACTTGAGTTATATCGCATTTTTTCATGATTTATACAAAAGGAAGAAGAGCCAAGTGCGCTTCTCACAAAATATCCGCAACTGAATTGAATGTGTGTATAATTTTTAAATGTACAATTCAGAAAGAAAAAAAACATAATCTGAATTTAACATTTTGTTGAGGTTTGATCACAGAATATTTGAAACAGAAACAAACTAAAGGTTTGCAGCAAAAGTACAAAAGAGGAAGTCAACTTTAGATTAAAAGTAGAACTAATAAATGATTTGAACCAATCTAATTAAAATTAGATCTTTGATCCGCTCCAGTAGCGATTTAACTAGAGAGGATCAAAGATCTAATTTTAACTAGATTGGAATTGAACACATCATGACTGCTATTTTTCTCTTAATAGAAAGTGCCAGACGCTAACACTGACGTAGCATTAAATGACGGAATCTATCTTGTTGACACGTCGGTTGACGTCAAAAGCATCACCGTTGGCAAGGACGCCACCTTAGTGTTTAAGGATGTAGACCTTAAGGTCAGGACCCGCTATATCCTGGTCCGTGGTGCGCTTTATCTCGGCTCGGAAACGTGTAAACTGAAAAGCGTCATTGATATTACACTTTACGGTAAGTTTGAATGTTACTGCAAATATCTATTTAACGATTATAGTAATATGATAATTAGATAATTAAAAGAAAAATAGGGATATTTCTATTACAAATATACCCATGTATACACTACTTGGTGGCCCAGAGATCAAAAGAGTCTGAAATATCCGACGTTTTTCAAGCATATTTTACAACTCTGATGTTTGACGTTTTCCTGGTGCGTCAAAAATCAAAATTGACATTGTGAAAAACGCCTGGAAAACGTCAGATATTATGGATTACATAGGCTCAACGTCGAGGTTCATGTCAATATTGTAGAAAAATTGACTCATTCAATAGTAAAGATTCTAAATCAGGTTACAAGAGTTAAGTTGCGTGTAGTAAAATTTTGAGGTAAAATCCAATGGTATTGTTTGTTTGAAAATTATTGTTGTGTCCTGCACTGGCATTAACATTTTCATATTGGAGGAACGTACAGTTTTGGGGAAAAGTTTCCAGGTCCTAAACAATGCCATTTAAAAATTGCACAAAGGATGTATTCGCTTTGACAAAAGAATTGACCTATAGGAGAGAACAATTTTCCGGAAAAAGTGACATTGAATAATTAATCTTTATTTGTTGTTTTCTACGGTATATATGTCTAAATTTTTCAAATTTGTATTTTTTACCTAAAAATTATTATTTATAACCTTACAATAAACCTCCAAAGTTGGCCTAAACACCATTTTGTCCGATAAAGCGTTGATTTTTGCATGAATTTTGGCCAAGAAGTCCTTCAGGGCAGGCCTGCCCCTAAATAAAGTTGTGATATTTTGATAGGTTTGGATGTAAGGATTAATTTAAGATAGGATTTTTTTAGGGGCACCCCTGCCCTAGGGTCGAAATTTACAAAAAACCAACAAAAAATAAGGAAACCTGATTTTGATAATCTGCTTCAAATTTATACCTGTAATTATTATAGCCAGATTAGCTCAGTTGATATATACGCAGACTTTTACAGCGTGCACACTAACATTTTAAAGTCGGGGGTTCGAATCCACCTGGTACCACACTTTTAAATTTTTAAATTTTCGCCTTTTCAAAGACTATTTTAATATTTTTTTATAGCCTTGTGTATTTTCCTTCAATTATATATCCTTTATGCATGCCCACTCTTGATATAGGAAACACTAAAGAGATATCAAATCGTAAAATTCCAATGTACAGTTGTCAGTCAGGCGGAACAAACCTCAGTATAAGCACACTTTCTCCGAGGACAAGAATAACTCACTCTGTGTTACTTAATACAGGTTTGAGCTGCGATGAATATCAATTGTATATATTCCTTAGGATTTAATAACATTGATTTTGGCTACATACATATCAGTAACATACTCCTCGGATTTGATTTAGGCCTATATAATTTGCACACATGAATGGAATGTTTTACTACATTCACGGATAAAATTACCTAAACATAAAGAATAGAATTTCAGAGGCAGTAAACATTACCATTATGCTTATTGAGAAGATAAGACAAATATCAATTATTACATTTTGAGATAACAAACTCAGGAAATCAATGAAAGGGTTCCTCATACCTCTACTCACTGAAAAAAAGATTTAGGAAAAACAAATTGTTATATGTATTCAGCCTAATGCCATTAATCAGAACGGAAATCGACAAGGTTTTTGTAGAGAAAAAAACCAAGCCCGGTCCTATAGGTCAAATCCCTATTTATAATGAAGTGATTCTTTCATTCCGACTTACAATTATTTGTTTAGGTGACAAAGGTGATGTTTCCATACCTAGTTTTGGAGAGAAATTTATTGGAGTGGAAAGTGGCGGAGTTCTCCATCTACACGGCTCCGACAAAAGGCCGTGGACAAAACTGACCCAGACCGTGCAGAAAGCAAAGAATGGAGAAATCTCCGATATTTATGTAAGTATCAAGATCTTCTGAAACATTAAAAGTTTCGACAACAACAACAACAACAAAAAAATCAATAAAAAAAAATCAAACGGAAAGGGGGGGGGGGGTCCACCCGGCGGCGTGCTGGTTCTGCCTTTTTCAAAAATATTTCTATTTTCATGCAGTACGTAAATTGTCCATGGTACAAAAATTTGCAACAAATTTTTCGCTACTCTCATAATCATTAAAAACTGTACCTTTATATATCTAGAATGACGACGGTGTCAAAAAAGCCAAGTTCCAAGGAATTGTAATGTATGTCTGGGACGCAACTTCCGGTCAGCTGGAGGAAGCCAAGGGTGTCTACGCCGCGGGTCGGTATACGATTACCAAATCCGGAAATCAGTGCGAGGCGGACGAAGATGCCAAACAGTTTGAAGAAACGCTTAAAGGTATTAAAGATATTTGAAGAAACATTCACATTGAAAAAAAAATTACCAATTCATAAAACCGATTACTTTGGTAACTTCTATATAACTATTATTAAAAAAAAATAATGCCAAGACATGGTATTACAAAGTATCAGACAAGTTCAGTATATAATATACAATCATGTAAATTGTAATATATACATGTATCATTATGGTACCAATTGAAAGTAATAATATATGTCATGATCATTTGCTCAAAACGATATTAATTTTTGAGGTTGTATTCCAATATTTAATTGTTTTTAAACCATGGACTTAAAAATTTTATTATGATCCTTGTAAAAAATGGCGCATTAAAATACAGTATAAGCTTATTGTACATGTACAATATGTCGTTTCATAGAAGATTTTATATATCGTGACAATCTTTGTTTATCTTACAGCTATCCCTGATGGTAAAATTGTTGGACTTGCTTTAATACGACATCTTCTTCATAGAGGTAACGTCAATTACGCCATGTTCTACGAGATCTTTGAAAACTTCGCCTTTGGACAAGTGACGGGCAACAGCGAAATACGGAATCTACGTCTTCATGACGCTTGGTCATTTGTCATGAAGAAAGGTACTTTAAATTATTTAAAACAGCATGTCCAAAGTTAGTCAGGTGAGCAATGTGGCCCATGGACCTCTTGTTCCCTTTTAGATTGAGTTGTTTCTTATTGAATCTCGATCGGCGTGATTCGTCGAGACTAAAGTATGTATTTTTCGTAGCAACGACAAATTTTAAACCTCCAACGCCGAAGAGTTCCTGCAATAGTCTGCTTCAAATATGTTCTATTATGTTCTTTAGAAAAAAAAGGTAGAGTCCTTTGAAACAGACCATTTGTGACCATATAGCAAGTCTTCACCGTCTGAAACTTTCATAGATATAGGATCTCCCGTGATTTGTAGTTTGATATGATTTATTTTATCCTACTCTTGTGCGTTTTTTATCCCCGAGCTTTGGCGAGAAAATTGTAGTCCCACTTAAGTCATGTTTGTGTTATAAACTTAAGAAATTTTGATTTATATTATTTGGACTAGTCTGCTTGACGTACGTTCTGTTAAATAGTGTAATGTTTTATATGAAATCACAATTCGCTTAATTTCAGACATAACAGAAATAATTGCAAATGTTGAATATTTGCTTCAAATTTGCCTCAAATTTACATATCGGTTTTGCTTAGGCGACATCGCTTCCTCCCAAGAGTTGTTTTTGAAGGACGATAAAGTAAAACTCGAGCGAGCTGCTGAGGTCTACCACTATGAGAATAACAACAAATTCACCGTCAGGAGCTGGGTCCACTCTATTCGTCGTGGTGCCTGCTACGCCCGCGGAAAGAGCGCCCAGGCTGACATTGCCGATCCAAAATTATCCCTAACGAATGACGTCAGTTCCTGGAAAGATGGTAGGTATAAAAACCCGATTTATACCATATTCGTTGCAGAGATGTTAGGATTTGCATTTTTTAAATTAAACGAGTTAAGAGATTAGGTATTTTGGGATTCTTTGACAATGCGGTGTACAAATTCTTGCACATCTGTTTTTAGGCGATGAAGTGGTCCTGCTGTCCACCGATTATGATCCTAAACAAGCTGAAGTGACAACCATTAAGGAATGTACTGAATGTGGACCGAATGAAGCAAGAATCAATCGTAAGTGTTGGAAATCTAAGAGCATAGATTTTTTTTTTTTAGAAATTTCAAATTTTATTTATGAATCGCATTACCATTGTAAAAAATCATAGACTATGGGGAAAATAGATAGAAATTGTAAATTAGTAGCCTTTACTTTGGTTTACAGTTGAGCCAATGTTCACTCACTTTGGACAAATGGTTAATGGTGTCGATATGCGAGGAGAAGTTGCTTTACTTAGCCGTAATATAAAAATCCGAGGGGCTCCGGCTGCCAATAGCAAGACACTTGGGGGACATATCAAGGTACAAATTCCGTTTATTCAGGTTCATCATATATACTGTTAGCTGCAGAACTGTAGCTCTCCAAAAAAAAAATTATATTGACATCTCCGGTCTGTCAATATAATTTTTTTTCGGAGAGCTATAGTTCTGCAGCTAATAGACTGTAATATAATTTTTGACAAATGAAAAAAGTTCTTTTTAGAATATTCACAATTAATGATGAATCGATAAACTTTCTTAAAGTTAAGATGTCCTTGTTATTTTTTATCTCCCTCCAGCCAATAATTATAATTACACACATGTACATAAAAGTGTATTAATCATATTTTTTACGAAAAGAAAATGCAAAAAAGTTAACAAGTATATGGGCCTTAAAATATTTATAATATTTATTTGCTAATTAAAAGAGAGTGCGAGAGCCTTAGGAATTAAAAAAAAATCTCAAAATGTTTACGCCAATCTTCCAAAAGTTTGAAATTCTACTTAATTGTAGACTGTTTTAACGTCAAAATCTCTATTTTTGTCCTTTGGCTTTTAAATAAATTATACTTTGTTCTTTGTTATTGGAGAGTTAAGGCTGTAAGTGGCTTTAAATTGAACTCTGCATCATAAAATTTACAAAAAAAAGGTTGACAAGAAACCAAAGTTACATTTATATGCATTAATCCTATTTGACAGAAAGGGTTTTAAATTAATTTTCTTTGCTAATAGGGACATAAAATTGAATTGACCACTTAAACATAAAAGTTTTAAGCCTGACTTTTTATTCTTATCATGCATCTTTGAACAATGACCTTGTACATGTTTATATTATAAAAGCACTTTTAAAAAATTGACTTGTTTGTTTTGTAATCCACTCCTTGTGTTTCGTGTGCAAAAAATGATAAAACACATGAATGAATATCACAAACTTTTTACAGTATTTGATTTACATGTAGGTATCCAACACAATGTACTGTTTGGTATTTTGAGCCTATACGGTTACGTATAAAAGAAGCATGGATGTTTCGTCTGAAGAATTTTCCTTATCAAAATTAAAAAGAAAAAAAATGCTTTAAAATTCAGCAAACTAATTTTTAAAAAGAACTATACTCCTATAAGGAAGGAGAAAACTTGAGTTCAAAACAAGTTTCTCGGGTTATATTCATCAAAAACAATTCCAGATGAGAAATGTGAAGATAAGGAACAATGATTCATTAAACATCAATCAAACGAACAATAATTGATCTAAGGAAATGTATAAACACTATACAATTATGTGAACGGGGCATATAAACATAGGCCCTCCGAAATTTAATATATGGGATCAGGTACCTATGAAGACGAAGCGTCCCCTGCTGACTGGTTACACCTGCCACTGGACACGAATAATAAAAGGAATGCATGTATCTTCCATATTAGATTAGACTCTCGCTTTAACTGAGGATCGCTTTATAAAGCGGTTGATCTAGACACTGTTCAGTGATACAGTAATCAGTTGTCACCGAAGAAGATGAACGTATGTTATACAGCACTCGCCAGTCCGTAGCTACAAAAATTACTGTATACTTCCTCTAATGCAGGAAAGTTGTACAGGTCAGTGCAGTTTAGAAACTTAAATGCGCGTAACAAAATGCAAACAAGATAATGCAAGAAAACGTACAAGGGTCGCCAGTCCAAGCTGATCTTTCAGGTGTTAGAAATGCGAATAGTACTCCCTGGCGCTGATATCGTAAATAGTGCTATCGAAAATGGCTTATTCAAATGCCTATTTTCGAGTGCTGTTCAGCTTTAATCAGATAGAAGGAATCGGGACATTCCTTTTATGTCGACTATTCTTCGTCCCACAGAGCATTATAAATTATTACAATGAAAGTCACATTGATTTTATAACATTTACATGATACCATGCTCCTGTCTGCTATTCTTATGATTAATGCTGTTTAAATATTAATTGAATCATTCTAAAATTATGAAACTCTTTGCATTTGGTATACCAAATATAACTTGATTTTGTTCTGTCTTCTTGCAATATCGCCACAAAATAAAGTAGTTGTATATGGATTTTTTCAGGTCCTGAGGGGTTTTAAAGAAGCACAGGTGGAGAATGTAGAACTCGTTAACATGGGGCAGTTGGATACACTAGGTATAGACGATAATTAACACTTCCTGTTTACAACACCAACATGACCGTCCATTTAAACTCATAAACATATATTGTTAACAGCATGATCATGAACTGATAGCTTTTACAGTTAACAACCTGAAAAACGTTTACAATTTTTAACAATTACCTATATAAACATTAGCAATTTACAACATGAACATTAACAGTTTACAGCATGAACATGAACAGTTTACATCATGAACATCGACAAAAAATTACAAAGAGCAATTACAGTTCAAAACATGAATTTTGATAGTTAACAACATTTAAAAATTACAGTTTATAAACGGTCTATAACAGTACTGATTTTCTGCAAATGAAAACGTGAACGATTCAATTTTCAACATAACATCAGAATTAATTTTTGCACAAATAACTGCAAAAAATGATAACCATGTGAATATTATCTGTAGTAAATATACACCTTATTCTGGAATGCATTTTTATCTTACTGCTAGGAAATTATCCATTCCATTGGCATATGTGTGGTGACGTCACAAACTCTTACATCCGGGGTAGTGTTATCCGGGACTCCAACGCACGTTGTGTAACAATCCATGGTACCAATGGGGCTATGGTGAGTGTATGATAAAACATATAAAGACAATAAAATCAAAATAAATATGATGAAACCGGTGCATTTGGTATACCCAATATCACTTGATTTTGTCATGTCTTCTTGCAATGGGGGGTTGGAGATGATGGTGGGGTGCTGAAGTCATCCAGAATAAAATTCATATTGTACCATGCCAATTATTATGTTTTCTAAAGTCTTTATCCATCATATGTTCAAAGATTGATAAAAAATCAACATATATTATCAGGATTTGTAATAATCTCGACGAGGTATAATTGCAGGTTTTCCTCAGGGTTCTGTCTTGGGCCCACCTTTGTTTCTGATTTGTGTAAATGTTAATATATTATCAATGTACATGTCCGTACATTATTTGTTGATGACAAGCACTTTAACAATCTTCCATTAAAATACACTAGTAAGATACTGAATATCCGAGTGTAAGTTAAACCATTATTTATTTATATTTAGGAAGTATGGTCAAACAATTGTAATGCTTACCAAAATTCAACCCATCTACGACAAAGTTAACATGCTTTGCACGAGAATATTTCTATTTAATATGCTTCAGTTTCTTTTTATCAAAGGCGACAGAACGATCATGTTCTAAACCATTGACACTTGAGTCGGTTTTTACACCGTCTTTTAAACATTTTTATTTTATTTTGAAGGGGAGGGGGATTCATAACAATCCCACATTTTTTCTCAAAGTAAAGTTACTAATATATATTTCATTTTAGTATAAAAAATTTCATGGCAAATACCCCCCTCACCAACACGCCTACTTTCTGATACAGTATTGTATATTAAATCCCTTTGTTGTTAATGAACTCTCGCCTCAAAATAATATTGGGGAATTCTCCTCTGAGGCCAGTAATTTTTTGAAAGAAAAGTCACCATCTTTTTCTGATAATGCCCAATTAAAAACTGATCCAGCCTGCCTGTCATTTTATTTTTAAACATAAAATATATACAGAAAATTTTTATTAATACAACTGGGTGTTTCTTTACTGCTTTTCATTAGGACTTCAGCAAATGTAAACATGTAAGATAAAATATATTGGATTGCTTAACGAGATTTATTCATGGTATTTGCTGAATCACATCATAAAATGATAATTGCTTTTTTTTTCCAGTCAGTATTATGATTTAATTACCTTCGTAGCACAATATTCACAACAAAAACACAGATATAATTAAAATGTTATTTTACATTTACGGGCATTGAACATTGTGTATTAAAATGGGTACACGAGTAAGCATACAGCATCAAGGCTGATTAGAAGCACGATCCAATGTTAAATCATCCAAAGATATCGTCCATTCAGACTTAAATCAATTGAACTTTTATGTCCTTCACGTTTGGTGATTTTATTTAGATATCTGATTATCATTGAATAATGTTAATTTGAAAATAACCCAAGGGCGTCTGGTGAAGTCGTGACCGACAGTTACAGAAAAAAAAAACGTCATCACAAATCGTCACCTGAGAGATTCAAATTTATCATAACAATTATTGACGTCTATCTCATTGTGCGAAAAATCATTGAACCTTGATTGACTAATTTGTGTGTAGATCAAATACAAAACGGATAGTGAACACATAATAAAAATGACAAAGGTCTTTTGCCAAGTATATTATTCCAGAAGAAATTAAAGTTTCATTATCCTTAATATTATTGCAATAACACATTGTTTATTTATTTAAGGAGTGAGGTTAATAGATGGAACTTCAATCAACAAGCAGTAAAAATGTTGAAAAATTCTTCAATTCAGATACATTTATTTGAGTTGTTAGTCTCAGGTACATTTTAAAGATTGAACCTTTAATGATCTCTAGCGGACAGATGTGTTCGATTTTAGCAAGAGATCTCTGGTGGTAGAAGATCACCTGATTAGTAAATCAGAGGGCCCTTGTTCGAAATCATTTTGTCACCTTCCAGTTACATTTGGTGTTGTACTATGTTCTAGCTCTGTAAACGAAAGGTTAAAAATCTGCCAAGGAAGATCCTGGGTTGGTGGAGGGGGTGAAAGAAGGTGAAGGTTAGGCAAGTTCGATCACCGGTGGCCATATACATGTAGCCCAAGAAATAAAAGTAAAGGGGGAACTGTTGAAAAAATGAATGGAAAGAGGGGATGTTGAAGAAAATTAAAAATGAAGAGAAAAAAATGATGAAACAATATACATGGTCAGAGTTAAGGACATAAGAGCAAAGGGGAAAGTTATGACAAAATGAAAGTTAAGGTAAAGTGTCAAACAAGGCAGAATCAGGGACATTTTTTTTCAGAAATGAAAGTTACTGGAAAGGTTGTTGAAATAAACTTAGAGGAATGAAGTGTTGAAGGAATGAGAATGAAGAGGAACTGTGTTAATGTATTATTGTCTGATTTGATTTGAACATGTATTATTTTGTAATAACACAATGACGGATTGTCATTGTCTGTGTTATAAGGTGGAGAACAATGTCTGCTTTAAAGCTGTTGGACACGGATATTTTCTGGAGGAGGGCGGAGAAGTGAATACAGTATTGAATGGAAACCTTGGGGCTGGAAATACCCGGACAAGTAAACTTACCAAAACAGACGGGTACGTGATTCTGACTTTTCATATTATGCATTATTATTGATGTGTGTAACTTGTATATTTAATTACAAAGACATTATAAATTTTTCTTGTTCCATGCATGATCCAAGTGATTTAATTCTTTTGAAATTGTCGATAACTACGAGTTAACAGTTCCTGACATACCAATGCATGCATTGTTACAACGCACTTTGAAAAATTACGCACTTCGAAATTTTTTTTTCAAAGTGCGTTAAATTTGGGACCAAATTAACGCACTTTGAAAAAATAAAATTTCTTTTCAAAGTGTTTCAATATCGACCATATTAACGCACTTTGAAAAAAATGTCTATAGCTTGGTCAATATTCTTGCAAATCTTAGGTATGATAAATAACTGAACTTGTTTGATAATTCTTCGGTGATGATGTCACTTTAGGATTGGAAAGTGAGCGATTTTGATTTTTCCATGCTTTGAAAATTTTTTCTCTCTTAAATTTTTTACAATTACTGTACTTATTAATTTCAGTTTGCATGCATTTATTGTAAACTAAAACTAGTTCTCTTGTTCTCAATGAGGTTAAATGTGTGCATGTAAATTAAGTTTTTTGAAAGATTTAATTATCATAAAATGATTCTTTCAATTACTAAAATCTAAGTCTATATATTTTTTTGTTTTATACATATTTTTTTTCAAAGTGCGTTAAATGTTCCCGTGGTAAAAAATGTTTATGTTCATTTTTAACGCACTTTGAAAAATTTTTCAAAGTGCGTTGAGTATGTCCCAAATTTAACGCACTTTGAAAAAAATTTCAAAGTGCGTTGATTTTGTCCCAATTTTAACGCACTTTGAAAAAAAAAATTTAAAGTGCGTAATTTTTTCAAAGTGCGTTGCCACAGTGCATTGATTAGTACGATGCATGCATTTATTTTTGGAAACAATTTTGTTCGATTTAAATTGCTCATAGAAATTAAACTACTTAGATTAAAAATGGGTTTTATTATATATAAATCAGTGTATAATATGTCATGCAAAATGAATATTGATGAACATTTTATCATTATTTTTAAAAAAATTTTATGTACAGTCAAACAGTGTTTTTGAATGGCCTTATTGATAGAACCAAAAAAGTGTGCATGTCTACACATTTTTTTGAAAATGTTTTCAGTGACGACGTTTATAAAGTCTTATTGGAATAGTCAAACTGACATAGCAGTGAACTTTAAGAAAAGTCATTTAATAAACATTTTAAATACATGTAATTTAATTGTAGAATGCCTTCAACCTTCTGGATTACGAACCCCAAAACAACATTGACAAACAACGTAGCAGCCGGAAGTGACGTAAGTTTTCAATTGAATGACAATCGTTTAAAGTGATGAAGATTTTATATTATATATTCATATAAATTAGTTGAATCTGATTCGTTGAGAAACATAAAAAATACTATTACCCGCTGAATAATGAAGACACGCCCTCAAACATGGCAGCAGTTTATGGTGCCTGACGACGGGTGATATTCCAAAAAAATATTGGCTGCGCAGAATTTAGGTTCAATGTCATATGTATTTGTATAAACATTCAGTTTAATATAATGAATATTGCATAAATTTAGTTAATTGAAACTTTTCACCCTCTCGAAATGCCTAGGTTGACATTGGTTTTCTTTAGGTAAAAAATTTCATTTTTACACTCAACGACATACAGTCGCCCGCGTGGCGAGATGTGACGTCTACGTTCAAAAACGTACATGTAATAAAGGTTGTGGTGTAATGTGCCTTTTCTAAAAAACATAATAAAATTTACGGTGTTTTTTACTTTTTTTTTTCTTTTTTTTTTTAGAAAAAACAATGATAAAGTCTTCGTTGTTGTATGCTTTTTTCAAAAAATTATTAAACATTATTCAACAAATTGCGGTGGTATGTGATTTTCTTTTAAAAAAAAAAAAAAAAAAAAAAAAAAAAAAAACGATATAGTAAAAAAAAAAGTACTAGGTGTTTTTTTTTTGTTTTGTTTTGTTTTGTTTTGTTTTTTTTTTTGTTTGTTTTTTTTTTAAACGTACAATGAATTCAGTTTGCTGTACAATGTGTTTTATTTTTTTCAAAAACATAATAAATGCAGTATTATATGTGCCTTAAAATCACAATAAAGTTTACTTTCTGAGTACATACCTGCATACCCTCTTATGATGAAGTTTTCGGTCTAGGCCTGTTTAGTTTCTGTTAATTTCTTCTCATATTTATTTCCAGTATGCCGGAATCTGGTACGTATTTCCTGATGAACCCATCGGAGTCTCATATGGAGTGGTGAATACAATGCAGAAAGACGAGGCGAAGCGAACACCCATAAAAGAGTTCAACAATAATGTCGTTCATTCCAACCGTGTGGTAATTTGAGTATTTCAGATGTAGATTACTCTTTTGATACTTTTCTGCTTCAAATTAATATGTAAATTGTATTGTTTATCTATTATTGAAAATGTAATCAATGTGTACTTCTGTCTTATTTAAATCTATTCGTAATTTCTATCTTTATTTGCCTTGTAATCTATGTGGAATTTCTGTCTTATTTTGCCTTGTGTGTATTAGACCTCTCTTTTTTGCCTATAATCTTACTGTAAACTTCTGCCTTGTATATTCTTTCTGTTATAAGTGTTTATATTTCTGTTTTGTAATAGTAATTTTTGCCTATTTTAACTTTTAATCTACATAATGAGTAATTTCTTCCTATTTTGCCTTTTTAATCTATGTATCATTTCTGTCTATTTTTGCCTTGTAATCTATGTGTAATTTTTGTCTAATTTTTCCTAGTCATCTATGGGTAATTTCTTTCTATTTTTCCCATGAAATCTATGTGTAATTTCTGTCTATTTTTGCCTTTTAATCTCTGTGTATTTCAATCTATTTTTTGCCTTTTAATCTCTGTGTATTTCAATCTATTTTTTGCCTTTTAATCTCTGTGTAATTTCTGTCTATTTTTGCCTTGTAATCTATGTGTAATTTCTGCCTATTTTTGCCTTGTAATCAATGTGTAACTTCTGTTTATTTTTGTCTTGTAATCTGTTGGTAATTTCTGCCTACTTTTGCCTTGTAATCTGTATGTAATTTCTGCCTGTTTTTGTCTAGTAATCTATGGGTAATTTCTGTCTATTTTGGCCTTGTTACCTATGTGTATCTTCTGTCCTAGGCCGGACTTTTCTTCGATAGACGCCTACAGAACAACACAGCCTTTGGATGGGGGACAAAATATACCCCTCTGAGTGACCCACTGGATGTGAATTCGGCTCCACAGACTGCCGTCTTTAAAAGGCTGACAGGTAAGATTTTTTAGTAAAACTGATAGGTAAGATAGACAGGTAAGATTTTCTTATTATACTGATAAATAAGATTTATTGGTTAGATTGATGGTTAAGATTTATAGGTAAGATAGATAAGATGGACAGTTAAGATTGATGGATAAGATTGACAGTTAAGATGGACATGTAAGATTGTTAGGTAAGATAGACAGGTAAGATTTAAGTAAGATGGACAGGTAAGATTGTTAGGTAAGATGGACATGTTAAGATTGATGGGTAAGATGGACAGGTAAGATTGATAGGTAAGATGGACAGGTAAGACTGACCAGTAAGATTGATAGGTAAGGTTTTGTTTTGTAATACTGACAGGTAAGATTGATATGTAAGCTAGACATGTATGTTTAACTGGTAAGTTTGTCTGGCTATATTAATAATTAAGGTGGACAGTTAAGATTTAACTTAAGTGGAAAATTTGACAGGTATGATGGATAAATAATACATGTACAAGTACTGAAAGGTAATCTTAACTGGTAAACTTAACTGTAAAGATTGAGAAGAAGGATTTTATTTGTCTGATTAATAGGACGAAATGGATGTTTATGATTCTATCAAGCTTATGGATATTCCACTTTCAGCATACAAGAACGAGATGTTCAATAGTTGGTTTGATGCTTCGAATATTCACGTGACACAGTCCTCGTAAGTAGCTAAAACATACAGTGTAGTTGATAAGTTGATATAATTTTTAGTTCTCCTTGGTTATAGTCCAAGAACTGAAGCAATAGTTAGTGCCTTTCGTTCGTCTAGCTGTAGACATCTTGTTCGAAAAACAATTTTTCATAACACTACTCCTTATGGTTTTCGTTCTGATTTCAGTAAATTTGGTACACAAGTGGGTTTCATTAAGTTACATAATTTGGTCCATCGCTTTTTGATTTTTGTAAACGATGTTGACATGGTTGCTAAAAATAAAATGCAAAATGTAATAATACATTTTTTTTAGACTTTGCGTCCAATTCAACGCAGAATTTAAAAACTTTTTGCCATTATAACACCTTTTGTTTTACTTGATTATAGAATTACAGTATAATAATCTTACACATTGTAAATATTGTTTCCTTTCTCCACAAATAAGTACATTTTTATTTAATGTGGAAATACATATTAAATATTGCAATCAGTGATATATTCTTTACAAAGATCTTGAGTTCCTTTTCAAAATATTCCAGAATTGTCTGTCACTGTAGGTTTTATATTGACCAAGAAAAAAATATTAAAACTAAAAAATACGTGTAGATCTATCATAATCCTTGTTATTTGAAATAACCATAACAATATTTTTTAAAATTTTCGAAAAATTTGCTTGTTTTGAATCATTGCTCATATACTTCAATTATTTTTTTTACACACTTTAGTAAATTGAATAGGATTTTATATATATCTTCAACTTATATGTTAATTTTTTATTATATTTTATTGTAAATTGTTGAGCTACTAGAAATTGTATCTCCCTGTACAAAATTGGAAGGAATAATTATCTATTAACCTCTACATACACAGGTACAAGTAGTAAATTCTACAGTGTATAAGCATAAATTAAATTTATGTAATTTTCGAACAGAATGCAAGGAACACAAAATGTGAAAATGCATGTATACATGTATATATAATTATATATTTTAACGCAATAAAATTACTATACAATTTCGAAACATTAGGAAATGTTATTTATAATAGTAATGAATAAAATCGTAAGAGTTTTAAATATTAATATTAATTCCCTAGATTGATAAAAATTTAATGTCTGAAAGGAAAGGCAACGATTTAAAAAATCAAACAATTGTTGACATTACTGTAAATTTTAGTCCTCAATGAAAAAAAAAGGTGAAAACAAAGAAGAAAATGGCTAATATTCCACTTAAATGTAGAAGAGGACCTTAATTTCAATGATATCCCTTTCAGATTCTCTGACAGTTTGATGTCATTTGCTGTGAGAAGGTATGTTTATACGCTTCGCTGATTCAACATTTGTATTAAATATTTAGATAGTCTTGAAAATTAAATATGAGTATGTGAAAAACAACGCAATGCCATGCCTTAAATAATATTAAGTTAGAAAGAAAATAAATCCATTTGCTCGTCTTAATTAGATATCTGGTTGCTATTTGTATTTCTTAACTAATCCAATGTGGAAATCTTGTGCAAAAGGAATTTAAAAAAAGAACCTGATACAGTTAGACTGTGTTTCTTCCTCTAAACAGAAGCAGCAATGGACCCGATTGCTTGGTTACCAACAGCGTGTTTATGGGGGAATCGATCAACATTGGAGAACCATCTGTTATCAGGGGAAATGGCATGGTCAAGACTTATCCCAGGGCCGTACCACTCAGAATGGCGTAAGAATACATATAGTTATCACTTATTATAAATGTTAAATGTTATTCATAACAATCTAAAACTGAAAGGGAGTTATTCACAGCATGAGAGGTTTATGCACTGTAGAGTTCATCCAGTTACTTATGCCTCTTGTTATCATATTAGCTACACTCATTTTAAAAATGCTGCACTCTTCTTGATGTAGTTAACCGAAAATAATCAAAGTGTTCATCTGATTTTTTTTCTTCAGTAACCAGCCTCGACAAGGCTTTGTGTTCTATGACAAGGCAGTCAGTCTGGAGGACTCTTGGTTTGGTAACTATGCCAGTACAGATGATTATAACGCGGGGGCTCTCGGATTCCAGAGGAACAACATGCATATAACGGCCCATGGAGCATATACCAAAGGACTTCAATGGGGATTTAGTGACGTAAGAACAATTGATTATTTTATCCTGCAACTGCCGTAATGAAAGAACAATTGTATTTCCTGTTTTTTAACTTGTTATTAAATTATTATTTTGGAAAACTAGTTGTTCTTAAATTTGGCATGTCATAAAGAATGTGAGGCCAACTTGCAAAAACATATTGAGTTTGAATAATTTGATTATTTGAAATAATATTACAACTATAGAAGATTTGAATAGTTTATTGAATGCTTGTAAAAAATTTTGAATGATGGTATGTTCTTTTATATCCTATTGGAGAATTTTCACTCATTTAGAGATGTCACCATATATCGGTGAAGGCATTCAATGTATGACTATTACTCAGCACTGAGGACAACTGGGCTCTGAGGTTCTTTAACATTCCAAAGCCTGTCGTAACGCGGGACCTCGGTTTTTAAGGTCATTCCAAAAGGACTCGGAGAAACAACTTTTGTTTCTTTCTTATGGAAAAAAAGTACCGTATGGAACTTGTGAAAACAAAGAAAGATGTGAAGAAACAGTTGCTACCTATTTTTATGCTAATTTTTAGAGGGTTCGATTGTTTTTTTTTATTTATAGGAATCTGAAGGAAATCGTGTTTTTGACGGGAATTCCACTGACCTCGGTTTCACTGCTTTGGACGGAGATGACATAGCTGTCTTTAAGGATGTTGACGGGTCAACCACAGGGACTAAAGGGAGTTTCGTGGTCAAACCATTACCAATCCACTTGACTGAACAGTGCGAGGAAATTGATAACTGGAAAATGGCTATTTGTCCACATGCTTACGGCCAAGTGCGTATTAAGAAATCTTTTTCATCTCCTTCATTTCTTTCATTTTTATTCTGCATTATGTAAGAGGTAATATTATCATTAGAGTTTCTGAATGAAGTCTATCTAGGTATTTACCCTTTCAGGTAAGGGCCAATTTTGACGGGAAAAATGATGACGAGATTACCGTCACGCGAGATGATGATCGAGATGACCCCGTGACGGCAGACAGGAGGTCGTATGCTCCATTCCTGGCTATACTAGGAGGGTCGTATAGTTACCTGGTCCGCTCAAACGCTGATAAGGCGCCGGGCTGGTGGAGATTCGAGTTCTTTGGCTTGTCAAAGTAAATTACTATTAAGGACAGATGATACAAACTCACTTATGTCAAACAACTTGGGCCATGTTAAAATGAATGTTAAATTTCACCGCTTAGTTTTTAATTTTTATTCATAATTTCCCAAAAATTGGTTTTGAAGTGAAAAATATTTGTATAGATTAATAAGGATGGTTTCAGAAGGGTAGACTTTTGAACATACAGAAGGTTTACAATTTCTTTACATTCTAGAAATTTGTTATTTGCATCAATTGCAATGAAATTAGGCCAAAAAGATATATACCTATCCCGCCATCCTTTTTTTTTGTTTGTATCATCTGTCCTTAAAAAGAATAAATTTTAATCACGTAATGATCTGTCCCTTAAATGGCTTACTATGACACCATGCTCAAAGAGACTTGTACTAGATAAATGTTTATAGGACCATCTTTTTGAAAATGTTAAGTTGCTCTCTCCTGACCGACAGGCTTAAAATGACCAGACTGTAAACTTTTTGTACTTCCTACAATATTTTTTTTCAATATTTTTTCCAGAAAATAGATTTTGAAAATTCAGCATTGATGTTTTCATTTTCTGAGAAAATTTTCACGCATATCTATTGGCCTAATTTTTTTTTATCCCGAGTCGGGTGAGGGCAAAGAAACATTTAATAGTTGGCATATAAAATTTCAGTTATCAAGCTAGCTCATACTTCCCTTATACGAAAAAATATCGCTGTCAGTTTATTGCACCACCCAAGCTCTTTCAATAATACACTAGTTGAAAGTCAACCAGATCTTATTCATATCAGGAGTCGTAAACTTTCTTCAGAGTCTATGTAATAAATCAATTTATAAATAAATCAATCACCTGGGAGACTTATCACGGATACATACATGTATTACATTGTAAATAAAATTTAGTAAAATGTACCATGTGACATTTTTATAGATATGTTTGAACTTTAGATTCAATGTTTTAATGTAACAGGTGTAACTGAAGAATATATGTGTTCAGGTAACCAAAACGTCCACTTGACAGAACAAAAACTTTAAACCAAAAAATTTTCAATGTTTCGAAAATAATTCCCGTTGATTACAAACCAAATACACTCATATTCTTTCCTATTGTTTAGATGTTATGCTTTATTTCAGGTCCAATTCTGCTTCTTTGGCTGTGTGTATTCCACGCCAATCGACAGTTAGGCCAGCCATGTTTAATATAGACACTGGCAAATGGGAGAGAGGCGTAGCAGTAGCATCCTATGATGACTTCCAGAAAGGAACTTCTTTCAAAGACTATTTCGTAGACACAGAAGTAGGGTGTGTATTTTGTTTAGTGCCTTTGCTTAATAGATCGAAGTCATGAAAATTTAAAATATGGGGAATGATGAAAAAATGAATAGATCAAATTGCATGAATTTTATGAGCTGAAAAGCACTTTAAATACAGTCAAACTTGGTTATCTCATTGACAATACAGTCAGACTTGGTTAACTCGAAGTCAATGGGTACCATAGTAGATATCCGTAGGGTTCATAGTATCAGGGGTAAACACCAAAAGAATGAGTGGTGGGGACTTCCAAATTCCTTCGACATATCCGTGGTACTCAAGAAGGAGTGAATGAGATATTATAGATAATTCAACTGCTTATTTAAGCTTTATGTTTAGTGTTATATTCCTCAAAGCCATGCACGTCCGTGAAGAGGTCGAGGGAGACAGAGGGAACTGTTTAGACAACAAGTGTCCGTTTGTCCACTTTTCCAATAAGGATGGTGACAGAACAGACACGGATTGTAACGACCGATTCTACGCTAAATACAAAAAGGACCAAGTCACAGTGAGTATTTTTTTTAAAATTGCCATAGATTTACACAAAAGGTGACATGAAATTTATGCCTAATCATTATCATTAATATTTCAAGTATTTGACTGTTTTATAAATTAAAGGGTTAAGAAATTTTCTTGCTGTAAACAAATCCCACAATGCTTACAAGAAAAATATAAAGAAATTTAATTTGTATTTTTATCGGTTTTATTTTTTTTCTAGCCTTCACGAAAAAAGAGACAAGCCGCAAGTACTGACAAATTTCCCGCCACACAAGCCGCGCCGCCAACAGTAAGTTTTACGCATGCGCTCACTGAAATCAAATAATACATCATGAAGATGTGTTTGTCTTAGATGTAATTTTTTAAAAAATAGTTTAGAATCTCTAGTTGTAGCTAAAATGATTCGAAAGCACATTACCTTAAGTTTCCATAGAATTCTGTAAAGAATTGTTTTTGTATTGCATTCTCTACCACAGTGTCCCTGAAATGATATAAATTAAAATTTCACTAGCGGAACATTTTGACTTATCAAACTAAATATGAGACATCCACTACATTGTAAAGAATCTTTTCTACATGTAATTATTATACTAGAAAGAGAAACTGAAGAATACCCTAATAAAGCTAAATTTATGTTGTATTTTCTCTAAAAACGTAGATTATAATTTTAACCATTGATTTTGTTCAAACTCCAATAAAAATCTAATTTTTACCATTTTTCAGAACTGGGGAGCTGGATCTACAGCACCATAAATTCTGGATATTTCCAAAGCTTTATTTTTATACGATCAACATTAATAAAATTTTTATGTATATTTTTAATGTCTTTTATTTCAATTTATGAGAATACTTAAACAAGAATAAATGCTTTACATACCGGTAATACTAGATCAGACAAAAAGTATTCACATAATACTTTTCGATATGTTAACCCTATTAATATACAGATTACCAATATGTTATGTCTACAAAATTTCAAAATATGACCCAACGGTTTTTCTGCAATAAATAACATCGATGAAACGATCCACTGGTATTATCGTCAATAAATACTAACTGCATGACCTTTTGCCAGATCGATCGTCGTAAATTTTACAAATTGATTACCATCTTACCTATCCGTTGCATGTTTGATGTCAATGAAATCAAAACTTATTTGCATATGAAATTCGGAATACAACAATATCTTGATAAAACTGGCCAATCACATTGTAGTCAGCAGCAACAAGTGGTCAGTCAACGGAAGGTTTTATGACATATTCGTGATTTGTATAAGAAAAATAAAAGGCTACTCTGCTACTATTGTACTAAATCGCTTTCGGTTTATTCATTATAGGAAGTACATGTACTGTACTGTAGATCACTAAATTTTCGCGACACATTATTTTAGCGAGATAGTCATTGACTCTTGATTATAATTACCGAGACAAAAATTGTGGTTATTGCTCCATTTAAAGCCAATGGATACTATTAAAATAGTATATAGGTGATAATTAAATTTTTGCGAGTGCACTGTCTTGATAATTACGCTAAAAATGAAGTTCTTGAAAATAAATAGTGATCTACATGTCCACATGTAATGTTGTTAACTGCATACTAGTGAACAATCATTTAATGGTCAGTATTGAAAGTAGTATTGCTGGGTCCTGTATTTCATATGCAAAGTGTTTGTAGCATTGAAATCAAACATGAAGTCGATGAGTATTATGAAAATCGGAACACAAATTTTGGCATGCCCTATCAAGAAAACTGTCACGCTCTTGGTAAAAGGATAAGCTACCATTGCATCAAAACTCGTGACCATGATAAATATTTTGGATTGGCTATTGGACTTTTACGAGGAGCGCTGACCTTTACAATTGACGGCTTACTTTTATACTAGGAAAATGTACGGAAGCTATTTTACGATATAAAGATTTAGCTCAACATTTAATTTAATGAAAATAACTGGTTATAGCAATGCACATACAAACGACAACCACCCTACCCTCAACTCCCGGCCTTTGCATGTAAGTGCCCCTAACACCATACCTATGACCACTAGATTGGTTTTCTTATGTATTATCAATTCTGTACCTCCGTACATGATACAAGTTAAAATGTCCTAGTAAACTGTCAACTGTAGAAGTCAGTGCTTCTCGTAAAAGTCCATTAGCATACAATAAAGGGGAAGCATACGAATGGGTTAGAATTAACAGTGGAAACTTTTTAATTACAAGATAGTGTAAAAAGATAACGGAAGAATCTGCAGTACAACTGAAGAACTTATAAAATTGCTAAACATGACATGATACCTGCGAGATCAAAGAGAATTCCAAAGATACTGAATAAAAAAACCCAAAAAACAATGATTTATCAAACAATTCCAATAGCATAAAACTTACTTAAATTATAACGCAAAAAAAAATTCTTGATACATTATTGTATTTTTTTACATTATATATCACAAATTTTGGTTAAAGTTTGGTCAAAGATCAATGTGTTCGACAATTTATTTTTACAATAGCTCCAAAAGTATGTGAGGCATAAAGTTAAGTCTCTTACAGATTATAAACATTAAACATTTTAAACCTTTCATTGATTAACAGATAGAAAGTATCACCTGATAACAAATACTTAGAAAAAAAATATTTATTGAGAAAAATTCTCTTGCAAAATGTCTACATAATTGTTTAAAAATGAACCTAAATGCTTTTAATGAAAGCCATCATTGAAGAAGCAATAAATGCTTATCAATGAAGGGCAAATTGGACTTCCATAGCCTCTGGGAAGTTTTTTTATCTGTTTATTTTGACCAAATGTTAAGATTTTCAAACTGAAAGTACAATGCAAATGGCAGATAAGCCTGTCTTCATACATGTCGTGCTTTCAAGAACAGCCTTTCAGTGTCCATTCAGGTCCAACTTGACCTTTACTGATATACATATAAATGTATGTATTATCTCTGCAATAACGGTTTTCACAAAATGGACATAGTGCAGAATTAAGCAGGTGCATTTTCTTTCAATATGCACCTTTTTTGATACATTTTTTCTAAAAAAAAAATGTCTTTTTTAAAATATTTGTTTTCAATTTATGCCCTATATCTTAATCAATGATATTTATAAATAAAATTAAAGTTAGAAGTTTAAACTTTATACCTCACATAGTTTTGGAGCCATTGTAAAAATATTTTTTTGACATGTTGACCTTTTACGAAACCTTAACGTTACAGACATTGTGAAACTCAAATATAAAGATGACGTCGATTCATTTTAAATATATTTTTAAACTTATTATTATTATCTTTATAATGCAAATTACTGGGTAAACCTTTTGTATATGAAGTGTAAGAATTTTTTACATACTCACTCGTTTGAATCTGCTATATGCACCATATGTCGAGAACTTAAATATTGCAACACATGCAGGAAAAGGTTCATTCATATGCGAAAAGTTGTGGAAGGGTAATGTCTTTTGGTTTAATTTCTGTAATAATGATGGATATTTTGGAATGAGAAATTTGACAATTTTTAAGGTAAAAATTTGTAAAAAATTTCATTAGATTTGATTAATTTTTTTTCTCAAAATGTGTTTGACTTTTTTGTGGTCGACATTGACATAATATTTTTTTGCAGATGCTTCTGCAACGCTTTATTAGTCGTAGTTTTGTCGAAGAGGCTGTTTTTGAAATAAAGGTACTAGTGTTTAAATATCATATAAAAACAAAATCTGATATTTAAGTACGAAACCTATACTAAACTTAAAAGGTATTTGATTCATGAAAAATAAGCTTCAGTTTGATATCGATTTTTCTTCTTGAAAAAACCTAAAAGGGTTGAACAATTTTACTGTTTATTTCCCATCATTTATTCATTTTTTTTCTTGATCAGCCTTGCCAGTTTCATAGACTAGACAACTAGAACAACCCTTTCAAGGAAGGATGCCCTCAAGTATTTTAAAATGATGTCAGGAATGAGAGAAATAAGGAATGTAGCGCAAAAATTGTTTGATCAAAAAATATTTGGGGACTTCTTCATTTATGTCCAGGAATGGTAAAAAATTGATCCTCTGAGGTCTTCAAAAAAGTTCTTTTTAATAATAACAAAACCTTTGAGGATGCCCCACTAAAATATGACCCTTTTATGTTCATCTTTTTTCCTGATATTATCTATATTATTCAAGCTTTTGTTATTATCGTTTGCTCTGATACATGTACGAGGGTCATTCAAAAAGTTCGTAGACTTTTGTTCTAACTTTTTTATTCAACGTCATATTATATCCAAATTTGGTACAACTATTTTAACAACAGATTCAAATAATTTGAATAAAAAAATTGGAATGTATCTTCATATTTATTAAAATTACCAAGGATTAGGAACAGCAAAAATGGGGTCACGGAGCACCGTCAAAATTGAGTATTTTTTCTAATTTTCACTTTATAGTATTTACAGCTATAACTCTAATAAATGGAACTGAAACGAAATAAAATTTACATATTTAAATAAAGTATTGTTGTATTAATTAAAATAAAATCAGGTTATGTAATATCTCGCTCCATTTAAAAGATATCAGCTTCTAAATACCTAAGGACTTGATTGAAAAAGGCAAAAAACCATGACGTCACGGAGCAGCAAGTAGCAATAAAATTAGACTTTACACTCAGGAAACTTCTTCTACAAGCTTAAAAAATCCTTTTAAACCAGGATCTGTATGAAAAATAATCTGTGTATTTGTATTAAATTAAAAATACAATTTTTGAGTGGTAGCGAGTTTGAATCGGACGATGGATTGTCTGTAAAGAAACAGGTCAAAGATAAAAATATTGTCAAAAGAGTTAGGAATGTCATTGAACGTGATGTGTGCTTCAATGTTGCAGAAATAATAGAGTTGCATAGTAATTTAAAGTATTTGAAAACAATAACATTCTTATTCAAGCTATATTTGTACAATTGTTAGCAAACTAGGTGTTAAGTGTTGTGGATATGTGTTTTGAATGGAGAAGACACTACAGACTGTGTTTGAAATATAAAAATAAGTATACTTTTGACAAACTTTCTCAGCGTTGTTGTTGACGTTACAATATTGGTTAACCGTGCTCCGTGGTAACAAAACATGTTGATATAAATTTTGGCTAACATGAGTTCTATTAATCAAATGGAATGAAACTTCACACTTCGACAAAATAAATGTTTATGTTTACGAAAATGTGTTGATCTATAATCTTGTAATAATCATATGACAATGAGAAGCATTGTCTACGTATTTTTTGAATGACCCTCGTATATTGTTTCTCATTCTTGAATTACTCAGCAAAATATTACATAAAGATTGGTATAATTTTACCTCAACCATGTCACCTACTTATCTGTTGAACTTTTTATTTATTTTGAATCAGAAATGAATTCATATTCCAACAAATACTACATTTTTCATAATTTTCAAATAATTAGTATTTTTTTTAAATTGTGTTCTTGATAAAACACAAATGAACATTATTTCTTCCAAAAAAGAAGCAATAATTATTGATCGTTTTAAATTAATCAAGAACTTGTCAATAAGATATAGTGTAAACAAAAAAGTAACCAAGATATAAACATCCATCAAAACAATTCAAATCGTTCGCAGAGCAAAAACAGACATCTAAAATCATCAGTGTTCGGATCAGATGCCACGGAGTAGAAATCATCCCTTTTCCTCCTTATTTAAACCAATCCCGTAATTTAAGTTTAAGGTCTTGCTCTATTTACAGTGTAACAAGTGTGTTTTATGTTTACTGCCCTGTATGTTTAACTTGTTTCACTATATTGTAGTTGGTCA